AAACCCTAAACTCTAAACCCTGAACCCTTAAAAACCCAAAGCCCCAAGCAAAACAAGGCCGGCCTCCTCATCGGCATCCCGCCAGTCCTCAGGCTTCTCCTCAGCTTGTTGCGAAACTTCTGGGATTATCTGGGGCTTCGGAGGGTTGAGGGAAAGGGTTGATTAAGGTTTAGGGTTTAGGGTTTAGGGTTTGGGGTTTTAGGGTTTAGGGTTTAGGGTTTGGGGTTTGGGGGTCTAGGGGTTTAGGGCTTTAGGGGTTTAGGGGTTTAGGGGGTTTGGGGTTTAGGGTTTAGGGTTTAGGGCCATGTTGTAGGGTTTAGGGTTTTGCCGCTTGGGGCCGTGAAGTCGCGGGCCTTCTAGCAACAAATGAAGGGCCCCTGTAAGCCCGCCTAGAAGCCCATAAACTTTGGGGAGGCTGGTTCCGCAAAGCATCCTGACCTGTCTCTTGGACACCCTAAACCCCAAGCCCACATAGTTTAGGGATGTTTAGGGCTTAGGGCTTTAGGGTTTAGGAGGGTTTAGGGCTTATCCTTTAGGAAAAACACCCCTAAATCCTAAGCCCCTGAAGACGAAACCCTCCCCAACCCTCCCCCCACCCCCATCTAACCCTAAACCCTAAACCCTAAACCCTAAGCCTAAACCCTAAACCCTAAACCCTATACCCTAAACCCTAAACTTAGGCCCTAAACCATCTCCGAATGGTGCCCAAGCGGCGCCCTCAGAGTCGCTGCTGTCCGACGAGCTCAACGCTGACTTGCTTGAGCTGTCTCCTGCCATCTTGTTCGGCCGTCGCGCGAAAGACTTCTCGGTCTAAACCTTAAACCCACCACCCTAAACCCTAAACCCTAAACCCTAAACCCTAAACCCTAAACCCTAAACCCTAAACCCTAAACCCTAAACCCTAAACCTCAGGCCCGGAACCCAAGTTTCATGGCTAGAGGCTGCGGTCTGCTTCTGGCCTCTGCCCTTAGACCCTCCGACCACAAGCCGGTGATCATGGGTTCGGGGTTTCAGGGTGCGCCTCGGGTCCAAGAGAGGATCAAGTGCTGCCTCCAGCCCGAAGCCCCAAAATCTCAGGGAGACAATTCCATGACTTCTGAAAGGTTGGGTTGGGGGTTATCGCTTGAGGGTTTAGGGTTTAGGCCCTAAAAGCCGTAAAGCCTAAACCATCAACCCCGCAGCATTGGGTGCACCACAGCTTTCCCTCTTTGCTTGGGCCTTCTGGTTTCGGGGCTTCGGGGCTCCCAGCGTCTAGTTCCTGTGCCAAGTGCGTTTTTCTCAGGGCCCTAAAACCCTAATGAATCCTCAGCCCTGAAACTGTATCCCGAACCCTCAACTCCATCTCTAAACTCTCATCCCCAAGCGTTTCCTAATGGGGAACTAGGATCTTCGGTGCCCTCTTAAGGGGGTATATGACGTACCTGATGCCCGAATTCCCCATAAGCGAACCCGAGATGCTGGTGCCTGAGCCGCGCTGGCTGCCCGAGCCAGGCTGGCTGCCCTCAGCGTCAACCACATCTTCTGCGAAGGAGACCTCGCAAGCAAGCATCTCGGTTTAAGCCATGAACCCTGAACCCTGAACCCTAAACCCTAAACCCTAAACCCTACACCCTAAACCCTAAACCCTAAACCCTAAACCCTAAACCCTAAACCCTAAACCCTACCACAGTGTGGAATCCAAACGCCCAGCCCGAAACCTTTCTACGGACGCTCTTCTGATGTCATGCTCCATGCGGCTCCGGCCTCCGCCATGCGACCCAAGACCTCATGAGAACGTGAAATTTTAAGTTTAGGGTTTAGGGTTTAGGGTTTAGGGTTTAGGGTTCAGGGTTTAGGGTTTAGGGTTTGGGGTTTAGGGTTTGCAACACCACGTCAACAGAAGCTGGCTCTAGACTATAGAGCCTTAAACCCTCAACCCTAAGCCCTGAGCCCCCAACCCGAAACCCTAAACCCTAAACCCTAAACCCTAAACCCTAAACCCTAAACCCTAAACCCTAAACCCTAAACCCAAATGCCATTCCTAGCACAGCAAGAGTCTTAGGGCGCCGCCACTTCTCACGCAGGGGCGCTCAGTGTGCCTTCATCTTCCGGTTTGTTGGGGATCTTTGTGGGCTTTCCGTGGCCATGTCTAGCTGGGACTCTACTTCCCTAACTTCCCTGCAGTTCATGAGGGTTTAGGGTTTAGGGTTTAGGGTTTAGGGTTTAGGGTTTAGGGTTTAGGGTTGAGGGTTGAGGGTTGAGGGTTTAGGGTTTAGGGTGCGGAGCTGCAGTTTGTATAAAAGGTAGTATTTCAAGGGGTTGGAAAACCCGTTACCTTTGTGGCTCAAGATGGCCACTGACAACCTGTGGCAAGAAGGAAAAGGTAGTTCCGTGTCCGTGAGGGTTTGGTGTTTTGGGTTGGTGCCCCGTTGCTTAGTCAAGGGTAACCCTTACTCCTTCCCTCTTCCCTTGGTTATTCTCCGCTTTCTGTCTGTGAAATTTAGAGGAATAAAAGTTAGGGTTGCCTTTGGGGGTGAGAGCTGGTTTCTTTTCTCTCCCTGTTTGGTTGCCCCCCCGAATAGGGTTTAGGGCTTAGGGCTTAGGGCTTGGGGTTTAGGGTTTAGGGTGTAGGGTTTAGGGTTTGGGGTTTAGGGTTTAAGGCATAGGGCCCGAGGCCATGAAGCACGCAATCATACCCACACTGGGGTAGGCTTGGGGGCCCGATCAAAATCACATGGTTATGGCTTTGTGAGGGGTGATATATGGGGCTTAAGGGCAAGAAACATGAAAAACATAGTTTCAAGCCCACCCCTGTATAAGCTTGTTGTGAGAAGCATGCCGCCTGGGGTAATGCTAGGGTTCAGGGCTTTCTGGTCGCATCCCAAGGCTTGCAACGCCGAGCCTTGTCAAACGATCAGCGCGATAAACCACCCTCCCTTGTAATGTCTCCCCTTCGCAACAAGTGTACAAATCTTGCTATCCACCTGCCACCACCACTAAAACCACAAGGACCTGTTATACGTATTCCTAACCCTAAACCTTAAACCCTAAACGCTTAACCTTTGTCCCACTGCGAAGCCTTGCATTTCGCCCCGCGCGCTGCCCAGGGGGCCATTCATGCATGGATTTAGGGAGTTAGGGTTTTTGAGGTTGAGGGGTTAAGGGTTTCGAGGTTTAGGGCTTGGGTTCAGGCCTTGGGGCTTTAGATTCTCGGGAGCCAGGAGCGACTTTCAGCATGAACCGCCAAAACTGACATGGATCGCAGGGGTTTCGGGTTCAGGGTCTATAGGGCTTAGGACCAGGAAGCTCCCAGACAAGCTGGTGGCTTAGCCAGCGCAGCTCGGGAAGATCACTTGGGGAGCCAGACGGGAGCGGCAGGGAGCAGGCGCTTGCGGCTTTCGGTTTTTCCCCGAAACCCCGCCCTCCCCGACGCAACCCCCCCCTCCCCAACTCTGCCCCAAGTACGTCGGAATAGGGTCCAAAAACCCTGAATGCAGCACGGCTTTCTTGCCTCTCACGTCTGGAAGCCTTGCGCCTACTCCGAAGCCAAAGCCCGCAATGCGAACACGCCCAAAGCCCTGAACCCCAAACCGTAAACCCCAAACTCCCTAAACCCTCAACACTTCCTCACACCCCCCTAAACTCTCTAAACTCCCTACACTCCCTAAGCCCACCCCGAAACTGCAGAGACCCGACGTGCAACGGGGGCGTTGCAGGGAACCTGGAAAGTGGTCGAGAGGTTGCGGATGCCGGCGACCGAATGGGCCTGACGGACAAAAAACCCTCTACCAGGCTTTGAGGTTCAGGGTTTGGGGCTCAGGGTTCGGGATCTCAAAAAAAGCTTCATGGTCTAGGGCTTCGGGGTAGTTATGTCTTAGTGAGGTTAGAAGTACTGTGGGGGGGCCACAGATTCACAGCATGCGATGGACCCATGGCCACGGCAGAATGGGTGGCCATTGACTCCTAACCCCAGAGCTTTTGTAGAAGATTCAAGCCTCCTAAACCCTAAAGGCCCTAAAACGCAAGCCTGGGAATGAAAGCCATGATCTCCCAAGCTATATGTCTCTCCATTCCCATGGAAGCTCACGGGCGGGTTTGGGGTTTAGGGTATATTGGGGTTTCCGAGATTAGGGGTACCTTACTGGCATTTTAACACCCTGAACCCTAACTAAACTTAGGGAACGGATCGGCCTCAGGGGGCTCTGTAGCCACAGCATCCTCGAAGAATGCGTCCGTGGCTCCCAGGGAGTCCAGGGGAATATCCTGGAGCACCTCGAATCTGGTCTGAGCGCCCCTAAACCCTAAACCCTAAACCCTAAACCCTACACCCTACACCCTACACCCTACACCCTACACCCTACACCCTACACCCTACACCCTACACCCTACACCCTACACCCTACACCCTACACCCTACACCCTATGCTGCGGGGTGGAACTCTAGGACATCTAGGGTGAAGGATTTAGAGCCTGGGGTAGACGGGCAACCCTGGCATGTTCACACCACCAAGGGGACACAGTTCTATAGCACTGGGAAAGTGGCACATTCCGGACCGCACGGTCCCGAAGCCCCAATTGGGCGAACATGGAGCCTTGTCGAACATGCCCCTACGAGAGCACTGCCCTCATGTCCGAATTCTTCGGTTTAGTAAAGGTTTCGGGTGTAACCTGAACCGTAAAACCTAAAACCCTAAACCCCAAACCCTCCTAAACCCTAAATCCCAAAACGCCCTACACTTTAAACCCCAAACCCAAAACCCTAACCTCTAAACGCTAACTGCGTGAAGCATCCTGGCCGCTCAGGTGGAGACGTTGTTGCGTTACCGAGGCTGTCTTTTGTTCGAAAAAATCGAGGCGCGATCCGAGGGTCTAGGATTCAGACTTAGGCTGCCTAAGCTTTCTGGTCCCCGTAGGGTTCTGTATTTCACGTAGGTTATCAGCCGTAGTAGGTTCTAGGGCTGTGAGCTTTAAGATAGGCCTTTTCTTTAGGGTCCGGCACTTAGTGCGGGTGCTGTGACGCCATGGATTCCTTTACACGTCAGCGAAGGGGCTCTGGAGGAAGGGATATCGAGGTCCCTGCTGGAGCTTCTGAGCCAGATTATCAGGCAGCCTTGGGCCAAGAGGACAGCGAGCAACAGCCTGCACCTGTACGTCTAGGAGAAATGTCTCCGGGCATGTTGGAGCAGGGCGGGGTTCCGGCAGAGCCGGAGACGCCTGCCAACTTGTTTGTGGCAAGTCCTTTTCATTCTGAGAAGGTGAAATCAGAAGTGGAGCTTCTCAGATCGAGACCGGCGACGTTGGATGATGACGGAAGGCGTGCTGGAATCGATTACGATGAGGCAGCTCTTGGAGATTCGAGCTTTTTGAGTGGCGGCAGGGAACCGGACTATAGCTTAGCTGGCCATGGATCTCGTGGAGGAGCTCCTAAGCTGGCCCGAGTGGAGATAGCAGGCGAGCATGCTGTTGAGCAGTCTGGTGAAGCCGAGGAGCAAAAGCCTGGCATAGTTGAGGTGCAACCTGAGACTGGGCGAGGCTGGGAAATTACTGGCAAGGGTCGGGGTGCAAATCCGAGGGATGGATCCGCGAGCACTTTTGCTGGTGAGAAACCGGGAGCTTCAGACGCTCGAGAGCTCATTCCTGACTCTGGTTTTTCCAGGATGGAACAGATGATGTTGCAAGTGATGCAGGAGAATGCTGCTCTGCGGCAGAGACTGGAAGCGGTGGAGTCTCAGTCAAGCGGCCTGAGTGGAGGAACCTGTGTGACAGCGCTCGAAGCTCAGGTCAGTTCGCCGATGTCTTTCGCTGGGAATGTACAGAGTTGCGTGGCCGCGCCACGAGAGAATCGTCTTGTACAGATGCCGAGTGCGTTTCCGGGCAACGATTTCCAAGGTTCTGAATTGTCAAGGGGGTGGTTTGAGACTGCTAGGGTAGCTCAGCCTCCTGGCATGTGTCCGCCGCCTTGTGGAGCTTTGGTTGGGAGTCCCACCGAGCGGGGTGGGTCGGGTCAAGGTTTCGAGTTCTGTAGGGTTAGGCATGAAACTTCGGTGCCGTTTATGCCTGGGATTAGGTCACCACCCCCTAGGCCGCCCAGTGTACCCCTTCGGACTTTGGTTGAAAGGGATGAAGGGTGGGGATCAGGGACTCAGACTTTGGGACAGTTCGCTTCGTTTGCTTTGGCGTCAAGGGAGGGTCAGGGTGAGTCTGGCTATCATACACCAAGATCCGTAGGAGCTTCGGGGTTGGCTGGGTTCAGTTCTGATGGATATCCGCTGTCGCCGGGTGGTACTGTCATCCGACCTCCGCCAGGGCCTCCCCCAATGTCACCTCGAGGGGTTCAGGCTTATGGATCCGGGCACTTGGGAGCAAATGCTGCTGAATGTGGGGTGATGTCCGGGGGTTCCCGGGGTCCAGGATATTTGGCTGGCGTTGAGGATTTTGCGCGTGGGGAAAAGGGGATACCGAGTCAAGGCGTTCCAGGGTCTTCTCCCACTGTTGCAGAGGGGATCTCGTCCTTTAGCGCTCCTGGGGCATTTCCTGAGGAACCAGCGAAGTACATTATCGACCTGCCTAAGCTTGCTGCTGCTGACTTGACCACTAGCGCCGTAACATGTGGCAACTGGCTTGCGCAGACACGCCAGGTTTTCGCGGGGCTTTCGCCGTCAGCGTCTGTTTGGTTCAGCTCGGTTGAGGGCGCGGCTAATGCAAGCTATCAGCGTTGGCTTGTAGCAGATCCGTTGGAACGGCTAGCTCTCGATCCCTCCACGGTTGTTGCTCACTATGATGCCGTCAAGTACCAGCGCGTAGAAAGTAGGGCAGTATCGTTGCTGTTGTCGTGTGTCCCTCAGAGTTTCAAGGATGAGCTAGTTACTAACCGTTGGATGACAACTGCTTCCATACTGTATCGGATTCTTTGCGTTTACCAACCAGGGGGCAGCACGGAGAGGGCGTACCTCCTTTCGCGTCTTGTTCAGCCTGATCCATGCAAGTCATTTAAGGATGCGATTTCAGGTTTGAGGCGATGGCAACAGGATCTGATCAGGGCACGGGAGATACAAGCAACCCTCCCGGACCCCAGTCTACTTCTGAAAGGGATAGATGCTGCTACCAGCTCTCTTCTAGCTCTTCAGCCAATGGTGGCGTTCCGAGTTAGCGTGTTTAGGCATAAAAGCTCAATCGACTACAACCCGTCGGTAACGGGGGTTACGCAGCTAGTGAAACTCATTCAGGCTGAGTGCGAGTCTCTAGCCATGACTGTTGAGTCTCCTCCGGATAAAAAGGCCAGAGCTGCTGCTGCTGCTGCTGCCGCTGCGAAGGCCCCAGACCCCAAGCTTCCCAGCACATCTGCATCTTCTCAGACGCCGAGTCCCACTGTGGCAGCGGTATTTGGAGAGGCGGACGCTGGTAAAGGTAAGGGTAAGTCCTCGAAGGGTTCTGGTAGTACGGTTGAGTGTTTCAGGTTTGGTGACGGTACCGGGTGTCGCTTTGGGGATAGCTGTACTTTCAGGCACGATAGGGCTAAAGCTAGAAGGCAAAGTAGGTGCTTGGCTTGTGGTCAGAGCGGACACTACCGGCCGGACTGTCCGATTGTCCCAGCAGAGCTCAGACAGGTGCTGCCAGAGGGTGGATCGCCAAGTGCCAAGAGTCCTCCTAGCCCTAAGAAATCAGAGGCGAAGCCTAAGCCGAAGTCCCAGCCTCAAGCGAAGGGTATATCTGAGGATGCACCCTCTGGAAGTGCCGGTGCCAGGAATTCTGAAGCCTCTAGTGCTTCGGGCGCCAAGGAAGCCTTGTTTGCTGAAGCAGCCAAGCTTTTGCAAGGTGCAAGCGCAAAGGTTTTGAGGGTTGGCGAGTGGAACATAGATGAGACTTGGCTCTGTAGCGCTGTGAGTGCATCCAATCTTGAGTATGCCTTGATTGACTCTGGTGCCACAAACGCCTTAAGGTTTGCTTGTTCTGAGGAGCTTCGTGGGGCTGAGTCCATTCGGGTTGATCTGGCATCAGGTGTCACTGAATTGCACGTTAACGAGTATGGGACCTTGCTTAGCCCTGTTGATTGCCAGCTCATATTGCCTGCCGGGTACTTAGTCAGTATGGGTTACCGTATCTCTTGGGGGAAGAAGGGTTGTAGAATACGGCATCCCAAACTCGGAGAGCTTGAGGTGAGTGTGGTGAAGGGATGTCCTTTGGTACCTAGGGAACTTGGGATGCGGCTTCTGGATCAGTATGAAAGGTTTAGGGCAGGGTCTCGTTCGGTAAAGGGATTGACATGCTCTGAAGCTGGGGAACAGCTTAACGCGAAAGAAGTGAAGATGTGGTTAAGGGATCAACTGAAGCAGTCGGCTGCCGGGTTGCTAGATCGGGTTACTCAAGTGAGCCTTTTGAGGAGTGTGTTTCCTGGGATCTCGGATTGGGTTCTAGAGAGGACGGTAGTTGATCCGGAAGATCCCTTTGCGGGTTGCCAGGGTGTTGCTCCTTGGAATCGCAGGCTTAGGAGGAGTGTTGATCGGGATACGCAAGGGTCGGTACTTCTTCGTGTTGGGGCTGTAGGCGACAAGTGGAAGGGTCCTGGACGAGTAGTAGAGCTTCGGAGGGACTTCGGTAGTGATCTCGGGATTGTGCCGGTCTTCCTTCAGGTTCTAAAGTGGGCTCAGTCTGGTGTTCTTGGAGGAATTGTGGCTTCTACCGAAGAAAAGGGTTTCGAACTGGGAAGTAGTCTTTCGGACAGTGAAAAGGAAGCTGCGTTGAGAAAGCAGGTATCATGGTTCAGGTTATGCTTAGTGTATATGGTGGCGCAGGCAGCTGCTGAGAACACTGCTTGTGAAGTTACCGAGCCGCGTGAGCCTGCTGGTGAGGGCGAGTCAGGGTCCGGAGAGCCTCCTCAGGGTCTTGATGATCCTCATGAAATAGCCTTGTGGGCTTTACGGAGGGCCGCTGTCAAGCTTCAGATGTCGGTTGAGCCGGAGTTGAGTGACCTAAAAGGGGGGCCCCGAGCTGCAGAGAGTCCGCCTGTATGCAAAGGTGGTCAGACAGAGAGGGCTGTCTTCTTTGTCTTAGAGGGGTCCTTTGATGGGTTGACTAGGCCTGAAGAAGTGGAAGGGCTCCGTGAGGCATATGGGTTGTACCGGGTATCTTTTGATCAGGGATGTCTGGGAAATTTGGCGCGGGATTCCACTGTCCTTGTGACCTCTTCGTGGGATGTGTTCGAGAGCCTACATGCCCTGCGGGTTCCGGAACATATTCAAATGCCTGAGTCTTCGAGGATCAATGGGAGTCGGGTTTGGGCTCCAGGTTTGATTGGGTGTGTGAAAAATGCTTGGGAGAAGTGCCGACGTAGTAGGCTTGAAGTTGGGGACCTGAGTGAGCGCCGAGCTTTGTTGGCGAAGCTAACCGAAGAGGAGAGTCTTCGTAGGCATAGGGCCAACGATCATATCCCTTTTAGGAGGGGGTGTGGTGACTGCATAGCTGCTCAAGGTCGCCAGCGGAGTCATTGGCGATCTCGGATCACCACCTTGTACTCTTTGAGTGTCGACATTGCTGGACCGTTCAAGGATGGTCGCAGTTTTGACTCGATTGCGTCTGGCAGGGATCGTGGACGTGGCTATAAGTACTTCATTGCTGCAGCGTACTCGATACCCTTGAGTCCCGAGTTGCGACCTGATTTGAGTCCTCCTGATGATCTAGCTGAGTATTGTCCTTCTGAGTGTGAGCAAGAAGCTGCAGGGGTAGGACCTATAGCCGATGAGGCGTCTGAGGATTGCTCTGAGTGGCTGGACGGGGTACATGAGCAGATTGCTGGAGGGTTCTCTAGTAAGGCCTTGTTCCGTAGGGTAAGAGGCAAGACGTTCCCTAGGGTTGATCCGTTACAAGACGGAGCTGAGTTTGCAGAAAGAAAGGCTCCTGGCCCTGATTTACCGGGGAACGCTGCAGACGGGGCAGAAGAGGAGCCGAAAGTCGTCACGAAAACCCTTTTTCTTGGGATTCCGTTGCGCACCAAGCGTGGCTCTGAAGTCATGGGACAGGTTCAAGCTCTGGTCAACAGGTTGGAGTCGTTTGGGTACCCTGTTCACCGCTACTTCGCAGACCGTGCTAAAGAGCTGAGGAGCCATGCTTTGATTCAGTGGCTTCGAGAACGCGGCATTCGTGCCTCATTTACCGCAGGAGAGGATCCTGCTGGAAATAAGGCAGAGGTCAGTGTCCAGCGGTTGAAGCAAGATGCCAGGAAACTCCTTCGCGTTGCCGATCTGCCAATCGAGTTTTGGCCATTTGCTATTCTTCATGCTTCGCAAAGACACTTTGTGCAAATGGCTGAGGCTTTGGGTGTGGGACAGGCTGTCCTTTTACCGTTTGGGGTATGGTTGCATGCGCGAAAGCGTTTGAAGTCGGGTCATAAGAAGCATTGGGAGACACGAACTGTTCCGGGCAAGTACCTGGGGGTTGCAACTGATTGTGCTGGTGGGCACCTGGTGTTAATCCAGGATGGGTCCGAGCAGCGTGTTTTGCTAACCAACACTGTCTACCCTGTTGATCCTTTGACAGTCCCGAAACCCAAGTTTCGTTTGACTACCAAAACCCCGCCGGGTTTTGCTGTTCGGGCTGTGGCTGCTAAGAGCGCCAGATGGCCAACCGGCCGCTCTTCTGTTGCCAGGTTTGCGCCTGGGGGGGAGTGCGTTGGGTGTTTGAGAGATTTCGAAAGTTCTGAGGGGCCGAAGTTTGAGACCGGGCTTGAATCAGGGTCTTCCAGTCTTTCCGAAGAGGCTTCAGATGGGGATCTTGGTGTAACTACGGATGAGGAAGGGTTTCAAGAACTCCAGGTTGATGGTACGACCGTGAAGCTTCTCTTTGGAGATTCTGGTGTTTGGCTGGGAAATAAGCTTGAGACTGGTGACTACAGCACGGTTGAGGCATTAGAGGTGCTTAGAAGGTGTGCTGACAAGCTTCCTCCTCCAAATCGAAGGGTATTGGGTGGAAAAGGTAGGTGTGCTGTGATGGGGTTGTACAATCAGGGGGGTTTTCAAGGCGTGTCGAGGTTCGCCAAGGATCATGGGGATCTTGTGCGTTACTTGAACAAGTTTGTTCGAGCTCAGGGTTGCGAACATCCTTACACTACCCTGTACCTTACTCGTAACACCTCTACCCCTTTGCACCAGGATGCTAGAAATGAAAGAGTGGTACCGGTTTGGGTGATTGCTCTTGGGGAGTTTCAAGGAGGTGGCTTGTGGGTTGAAAGTTCCGATGGCCAGGGTCCTGTTTTAAGACAGTTGCCGGGGGGTGACTTAAGGGCTGGTTTTGTCAGGGATATTCATGATAACCCGTGCACCTTTAGTGGTCAATTGTGGCATTGCGCTGAACCTTGGTGTGGCAAGGATAGGTGGGTGATTGCTGCCTATGCTCCTCGGGGTACATGGAAGATTCTGAACGAATACGCTCGTGAGCTTGAGAGCTTGGGGTTCGATTCTAAAGGGTTGGATCACCTTTTCGCTGCAGAGCGTGCTTCGATTTCAAAGTTTAATGCTGAGGGTGATGAGGACTTGACCTCTGAGGGGCTTTGGGAAGTTGAGTTTCCTTGTGAAGTGTTGAAGCCTGGTTGGCGTGAGCACGTTTTAAGAAATCACCTGTCCTCAGCTTTGGCGTGTAAAGCCCTTGTGAAGGAGCTTAGCTGTTTTGGAAATGATGATGTAGGCTACGAATTGATTCGGACCTTGAAGTCGGTTGAATGCCAGCGCGAGTGGTATGAGGGACTTCTGTGGGATGACTTTGTCAGGAATTCTGGGAGTATGTTAAAGGCTTTGAATCAGGATGTTCCTCTGAACCCGGAAGACCAAACCAGCCCTGCCGAAGCTTTTCTCCAAACGAGGACAGTAAGCTTAGCTGAGGCAAAGGGTGAATTGGTGCTATGGATACCTTCGGCTACTGAGGAAGTTGTCTCTTTGGAACAAACGAATGAGGCTGTTGAGCGCATTGTCGTGTCGGACATTGAGCGGTTGATTCAAGAAGGAAAAAGGGTAACCCAGGTTCCAGGAAAGGCAGTCCTAACCAGGAAGGCTGGTGTTGGGAAACGCCGATTCAGGTGTGTCGCGTGTGGGAACTACATCCCCACTGGCTCTCCTGATTCCAACAACCTTTATGCGAGTGGCGTTGAAAGCTTGACTGTCAGAACGGCATTAGGTTTTGCTGCTTACCGTGGTTGGGCAGCTTTGAGCGCCGACATAAGGACGGCCTTCCTTCACGCGCCGTTGGACGGCGAGCTTGAGTCCGAAGAAATTATCATTGTCAGGCCTCCATCTATTCTTGTAGACATGAAAATTCTTTCCCCGAATCATCGATGGCGCGTGCGTAAAGCACTGTATGGGTTACGACAAGCTCCCTTGGCTTGGGCCCGGTTCCGAGATAAGTCATTGCGGGTGCTGACCTTTCAGTGTGACGGTGCATGGTATGCCTTGCAGCAGGGTGTCAGTGATGATTCGCTTTGGTTCATCACTAAAAGCGAGATTGCCGAGGATGACACTGAGCGTTGGCATGGTATCTTGATCATTTACGTTGACGATCTTTTGGGTTTCGCTTCATCGGTGATCCTTAGTGCCCTTTTCGATGAAATACAGAAGCTGTGGAAGCTTTCGGAACCCGAGTGGATTCGGGAGGAGGCTGCCACTAAGTTCTGTGGGTCCTACAACGAGGAGGGTATCGCATATCGCAGGTTTCCTATTTGCAGGAGCTTTTTGCAAGATACGACGTCACAAGCAGTGCAAGTGCGCCCTTGAGTAATTGGACTGATCCGGAAAATGAGCAACAGGTGCAGTTGGAGACTGTCCGGAAGGCGCAAGCCCTGACAGGTGCTTTGCTTTGGGCTTCGTCGAAAACCAGACCCGATATTGCTTTTGCTGTCAGTAAACTTGGGCAATATGCTGTGAAGGCGCCAAGCATTGTGATTGAGAGCGGGCATCAAATCCTGCGCTACTTGTATGGTACGGCGGACCTGTGGCTGGAATACCAGAAGCCAAGCGACAATTCCTGGCTTGACGCTCCGGTTCCTCGAACTTTAAATACTCTGGAGTTGTACACCGACGCTTCCCATGCCCCTAACGGGGGGCGATCTTGCCAAGCGATGGTCATCCTATGGGGAGGAAATGTGTTATGCTGGGAATCCTGTCGTCAACCGTTTGTGACTCTGTCCTCTACGGAGGCAGAGCTAGTTGCAGTCACCGCCGGAATAGTTGCTGCAGAATCAATTGGGGGCATCATTGAGGAAATGATCGAGTCCGACATCACGGTCTCTGCCTTGTGTGATAACCAGGCAGCGGTAAGGTCGTTTGCTGTTGGAAGTCTCGGGTGGCGTAATCGACATCTTCGCATGAGAGCTGCAGCTGGGCGTGAACGTATAGATGCGGGATCTCTAGTAGTCACCTATGTTCCAGGATCGATTCAGCTCGCAGATATAGCTACGAAACCACTGTATCGAGCTAGGATTCTTCAGCTTGCGGAACTAATGAATATGCGAATGAGACTTTCGCCAGCTGGGGCAGATGATTCGATCCGTACAGTCAGCAGGTTGTCTTCCAGCTTCGGATCCCAGGGATCTGTCTCTCCCCGGACCTTAGCGGGTCTTGCATTGGTTGCTGTGTTGTCTGGTGTCCGAGCTCAACCGGCATTGCGAGTTGAAGAAAGGATTGAATGGATTCTTTGGTTCTTCGGAGTTTTGGTGGGTTTGGTTTTGCTTGCTTGGGCTCAGTGGTTCCTTGGTTTAGGTTTCAGAGGCTTTTGGCGGGGGGAACAGTTGCGGGAATTAGTAGGCGATGCTGTCAGTCTTGGGGGTTTGGAGTTTGCTGCCGAGGCTCAACAGGACTTCGGGGTTGGAAATGAGGTTTCCCTGGCTTCTGAAGTTGAAAGTAGGGCTGGTTCTGAAGGTGATGGGTCTGAACAGTTCTCTGAAACTGAATTGCTGGAGGCGCAGCGCAAACTTCAGGAACGGGAGCGCAGCAGTCAGCAGGTTCCTCCAACTCCCGATGTGCAGATTGGGGGGAGCAATAGCAGTCAGCAGGTTCCTCCAAGTCCCGATGTGCAGATTGGGGGGAGCAATAGCAGTCAGCAGGTTCCTCCAAGTCCCGATGTGCAGATTGGGGGGAGCAATAGCAGTCAGCAGGTTCCTCCAAGTCCCGATGTGCAGATTGGGGGGAGCAGTAGCAGTCAGCAGGTTCCTCCAAGTCTCGGTGTGCAGATTGGGGGGAGCAGTAGCAGTCAGCAGGTTCCTCCAAGTCTCGATGTGCAGATTGGGGGGGGCAGTCGCAGTCTGCAGGTTCCTCCGAGTGGTGTTGAAAGCTTGACTGTAAGAACGGCATTAAGCCTTGCCGCTTACCGGGGTTTGGCAGCTTCGAGCGCCGACGTACGGGCGGCATTCCTTCACGCGCCGTTGAACGGCCAGCCTGAGTCCGAAGAGATTGTCACTGCGCAGTCTCCATCCATTTCCGTGCTGAATCTCCTTGACTTAGAAGATGACCCTACTCCAGATGATAGGCCCCATAGAGCTGTAAGTCCCCGGGTTCCTGTAGAAGGTCAATTTTTCCTTGGGGAAGGGTGGTCTTCTTCTGAAAGCGAAAGCGGAGATTCGACAACTGAGCCGTCGATATTTTCTGTGTCTAGCGGAGATGCTGCTGTCGATGAAGAAGTATGGGTTATTCATGATGCCGAGGCCAGACTTGCCCAGGCAGACGAGCCACAACCTTTAGGAGTGAACTTCCGAGCTGGGCATGAAGTGCTAATAGGGACCTATGCTGACGACGAGGTTAGTATAGCGCTTCAGGGATGGTCCCAGGCTGAGGTTGAGACTATTGTTACCGGGCTGAATGAGGGTGAATGGACGTCGTTTCATGCAATGCTGGCACAGACCAGCAATCAAGAAAGTCAGAGTTCCACTCAAGTTCAGGGTTCGCAAAGTGTGGTTTGGGTCGTCGGGGTCGGGGTCGGTTTATCTCTTGTTGGGGCATTCGTTCAGTTGTGGAGCGTTAGTTTTGTGGCGTGTTGGTTCTTGCTGCTTTGGTGTAGGAGTAAGGGGGATTTTGCAGGGACTTTTGGGAGGATTTGGGGTGTGCGGCCAAGGAGTGATAGGCGCTGGGTCGTACTTCTCTATGTTCTCTGGTTAGTCCTGGGCGGCATTCTTCCTAGTTCTGCAGAGGTAGTAACCTATGGGGATGAACCGGTTTCTTTCGGTAGGTGGGATGAACCGACTGGTAGCTCCACTGGGGTTGGCGATGTGTGTCTGGAGGATGAGCAAGGGTCTAGCTCTGAAGAAGCCGGGAGCTGGGACTGGTGGCTGTGGGTTGCCTGCGTGATTGGAATCTGGGAAATCGTTCGTGCCTTATCTCTTCGTGTGTGCAGAAGTAGAAAGACAGTGCAGGATCAGGCAGTCAGCGCCGAAACGGTGCCGTGGCCTTTGCATCCAGGTATCCCTCACCGAGCGAACATCTTGTACTGCTACTGGCGTGCAGGATACGTGTTTGACGTACAAGAATATCCTGAAGCGGTTCAATCACGATTTTATGGCCTCCTAGGCTCTCACCTTGAGAGGCGTGACAGAGATGGCTTGTCCTCCACAGACTCTTCTGATTGAACTGATTTTGGGGCATTCTGAATAAGATCAGCGGTGTCCTAAGTTGCGGATGCTGGCAACTGCCAAAAAAACCAAAGGAGACGAAGACTATCAGCTGTTATCTCCAGAATATCTGGGCTTTTAATCCTCATGAAGCTAAGTCTTGTGGGGGGTGTAGGATCATAGCTATAGTTTTCGGTCTCTGCTTGCATGCGTGGATGCCTCTTGATCCGACATCGAACTGCTCCAAAGGAGAAAGGGCTGCCGAAACAGAACGGCCTGTTCGAAATAGGGTCAAACATTTGTACAACGAGGCTTTTGTCCACTTTTGCAACCAAAGGACGATCCATCTGGGCTCGGGCATATAGAATGCTGATGTTTTCCTGGTGATGCATTCCAATCACCTGAGTCTTGGAGTCTCAGGTGAGGGGGAGTGCGTGAAGCATCCTGGCCGCTCAGGTGGAGACGTTGTTGCGTTACCGAGGCTGTCTTTTGTTCGAAAAAATCGAGGCGCGATCCGAGGGTCTAGGATTCAGACTTAGGCTGCCTAAGCTTTCTGGTCCCCGTAGGGTTCTGTATTTCACGTACTAACCCCTAAATCCGAAACTCCTTGGACCTTAGGGATCAGTCTGCAAGAAGCTGAGCCCCTGGCAGCCAAGTCTAGAATCGATGGGTCCTCGCATCCGCTCCCGCCCAAGATACAAGTCCAACGGTTCAGAGGGGTTAGGGTTCAGGGTTTAGGGTTTAGGGTTTAGGGTTTAGGGTTTAGGGTTTAGGGTTTAGGGTTTAGGGTTTAGGGTTTAGGGCTTAGGGTTTAGGGTTTAGGGTTTAGGGTTTAGGGTTTAGGGTTCAGCAAATACGTCTCTTGTGCATCATTCTTGCTTTGCTTTGGGACAGACGCCATGCTGCGTTCCAACACTCGGATGATCGTAAAGTGGGCTGCGCGTTGGGAATCTGGCAGACCTGCAAATCTACTCCACTAAACACCCAAATCCGATAACGTAGTCTCGACATGTCAGGTGGTGCCGACTGAGACGCAGCGTATCATGCCAACAAGCTTGGAAAAGCCCTGCAAGCAAAGGTACCACACTAGGAGCCTTCGGGTATAGGGCTTAGGGTTTACGTCTCAGGGTTTCTAGTAGAAAAAGCTCCGCAAATCAAGCAAACTGGCAGAACGCTGGTCCTCAGAGACTTCAAACTCGATGCGCAAGGTATCCTTGACCCAGGGCCCCGACTGGAGTTTAGGGTTTCGTAAGGAGCTTTATTAGGGTTTTGGGTTTAGCTGAGGTTGCTCAAAATCAAGATTCTTTTTCGGGCTTTAGTGTTTTCGGGTCTTGAGCTTCTTCTTGCCCAGTTTCCAAGGTCAACAAAAATAGCGCTCATGCTTCCCCAAGAGGCTCACTGGTTCCTCACTCGCTACAAAGGACTTCTGCCTAAACCCTCAGAGCCAGAACTGGCGTTCACGACATCCGAGCATAGGCCCTAAAGCCCGAATTGGGAAATTCAGCAACGAAGCTCGCCCCCACCCGCCACCCCCCCCCCCGCCCCCGCCACAAATATTTCAGCCAATTGCTCCGAATCTCTCTGAAGCCGTTCCTGCACAGCGCCCTTTACCACATATGAACTGAAGGATCCAGGGTTTTAGGGTTTAGAGTTTAGGGTTTAGGGTTTAGGGTTTAGGGCACGCACCCGCAGACTGAAACCCGCTGAGCGGCCACCATCTTCAATCGCCTTCCGTTCGGTCCCTCGAGCCACTTCTGCCCGTCGTAGGTAATGTTCCTTGGCTTTTGCTTCACACATGGCTAACCCTAAACCCTAAAGCCTGTTTACTTTCTGCTGTTACCGAGCCCTATGCCCTAAATCCCAATGAGAAGGCCCAAGCCCTATAGACCAAACAGCCGAAGATCTAGATCTGGAGCACCGTAGGGGTTTAGGGCTTAGGGTTCCGGATCTCTTGAGACTTTCGACCTTCCAATCCTGCGAGCAAAATTCCACTGGCCTGAGGGCGGCCGAAAACCCAAGAACCGTAAAGCCCTAAACCCGCTGCCCTGAAAACCCTCCACCCTCACACCCTAAACCCCAAACCCCAAATCCGAAACCCTAAGCCCTATCAACCCCAACGGAAGCCGCCCCTACAAACCCTCAAGCCGAGTCGAGTGTCACCAGCGACACTCGGTCTTCAGAGACGTTCAGGGACCTGGCTGGTTTCGGGTCGGTTTAACGCTAGACCCGAAGCATGAAGAATCGACAGCATCGCCCAGCAAGCTATTCCGGGCCCTTGAAACTTCCTGGAGATCTTCCTAAACAGGATCCTCTTGAGACCCAACAGCGCAAATCCCGAGGTGCTGCCTCTAACCCTACACCCTAAACCCTAAACCCTAAACCCTAAACCCTAAAAACCCTAAAACCCTAAACCCTAAACCCTGAACCCTAAACCCTAAACCTAAACCCTAAACCCTAAACCCTAAACCTTAAACATCGCCTGGCAAGATCTTCCACAAAGGTGAACTGGCTGAACTCCTCGAGGGGGACGAAGACGACCTCGGCTTGAGCCCCTTCAGTGGATGCTGGAGGCCATTTGGGGTTTAGGGTTTAGGGTTCAGGGTTGAGGGTTTAGGGTTTAGGGTTTCGGGTCTAAGGTCTGTAGGGTTTAAGGTTTGGGGCTGCGGGTTTGAGGTTTAGGGTGTAGGGCTAGGGTTTAGGGCCTAGGGTTTAGGGTTTAAGGTGTAGGGCTTAGGGTAGCACTGGAGGAAGGGAGTCAAGGGCTGCAAGGAAGAGGCAGGGAGAGAGAGCAGCTTAGGGTTTAGGATTTAGGTTTGAGGGTTTAGGGCTCAGGGTTTGTTTGGGCTAGGTTCAGAGGCAAGTAGTGCCGTCGGGCGGCCACCTCCGCGACGAAGACCTGGAGAAAAGGCTTGTCACGCAAGATGTACATGTAACGTGGTGTGCTCAGGGCCCCAAGTAAGCAATAAACGGAGTTCAGCACCCAACCTGTTCGCAAGCCATTCATCAGGACGCATTGTGTGGAGTGGGCCGTTGGGAACTCCTTTGAACCAACCCATCCTTGTTCAGGACGCGTCGTGTAGCAGGGGGTGGGGTCTACTACTAGTACGCGCATACCCCAAACCGCACCAAAATGGTACCCTACCTCCATAAAATGGCACATCCTTGATACTCAGCCCTATACCCTTTAGAGCACCAAATGGTATCCTACTTCCATAAAAAGGCACATCCTTGATACTCAGCCCTATGACCCTAAACCCCAAAACCCCAAAACCCCTAAAACACTAAACCCCAAACCCCAAACCCTAAACCCTAAAACCTAAACCCCAAACCCTAAATCCCAAACCCTAAACCTTAACTCCTATACCCTTTAAAGGGAGGGTGAGGATCCGGCCTCCAGCAGTTGAAGTACGATGGCTCCCTGGCCGCGGCTACCACCCGGCATGCCTGGCCCCCGGGGCGAGGAGCAAGCATTTGCGGGCTTGCGCGTGACCAAAGGGTTTAGGGTTTAGGGTTTAGGGTTTAGGGTTTAGGGTTTAGGGTTTAGGGTTTAGGGTTACCCTGCAGGTTCTACCCCACATAGCTAGAACCCCACAAGCCCGGCAAGTAGCCCCAGGTCACTAGACCCAAAAACCCACGAAGCCTCAAGAGAAACACAAGTCGAAGCAGAAGTATCCTTGGCCCTTGCGCGGAAAAGGCGCGCCTCGTGCCATGATGTACAACCTCAGATGCAGGGTCAAGGGCCGAAGGCCAAAACCATGCACCGTTTGGGGTCTAGGGCCTATGGCCCTAGAACCCTGAACCCTAGATAGGGGTTTAGGGTTTAGGATTTAGGGTTTAGGGTTTAGGGTACGGGGGCAACCGAAAGGGGAAAGGAAAGAATCTCAACCCTTGGTTGCCTAAATGAACTCCCTGAACCGAAGAACACAACACAGATCCAGACAAGAGCACCCGAAGGAGAGAGGGGGATATCCTTACCAAAGTAACCAGACACCAACCCCAACTCCAAACCCCAGGGCGCTACTTTTTGCTTTGAACAGCCGTTGTTAGTGGCCATTCTTGAGCCACAAAGGTTACCAGGTTCATTGACCCTTTATCCTTCAACACCAACCCTTTTTCACAATACAAACTGCAGCTCCGCACTCCCCCTGTCCTAGGATTTCCTAGGACACACATTGGAGGTGCAGACTTTTGGCCAAAAACTGCCATTAGGGCAGCAGGCAGCTGCTTGGAATGCATATTATGGTTTTACGTCATCCAGGACGAATATATAGCACATTGGCTAAACACCTTTTACCACAGAGAATCTTTTCCACCATGATTCTCTTGTCATTGAAGACTCTTCAGCCTTCTTCACCACGAACCGTGGTCTTCGCTACGCAAAAGGCTACTGACTTCTACTATCAGGGATTTCCATACCCTTAATAGTAACCACCATACTTTCAGCACATTGGCTGTTCCAGCGCACCTGTCTTCAGAAAGAGAAAAAACTATTCCCTCATCAATACCATCCAGTCATCCCTTCTTCTTCTTCCGGTGGGCATCGATGCTTAGGTGAAGTCGCAGCAAAACATGCTCCAGGTCCGACACTGTAAGAACAGGATCCTGCACGCACCTTTGAATTGAGGATACCAATCCTTCTCTCTTCGCGTCCTCAATTGCTTGGCAAGATTGACCCAGCTCTGCATCCACAGTAGTAGACGCTTGCACATCCACATCAGAGGAACGATCCTTTTCCTCAGGACCTTTCACCACTACCACCTCTTCCTTCTTGGGGCTTTGACTTTTCTCTTTCTTCTTCGTCTTTCCCACGACGCTTGACTTTGTGCGCATTCTCGAAGAGGCCTTTTTCCCTCCAGAAACCACCGCATTGGATGATGATCCACCCTTCTCAATGTTCGCCGGCATCTTCTTCGGCTTTGGAACCAGAAGAGTATAAGGATCCTCGCTAGCCGCAGTTTTCCTCTTCTTTTTGGCCTTTCTCACTTCTTCCTCAACGGCAACATCCGTCTCCGAAGTTC